CAGTGAGACCTGTCTCAGGAAACTGCACATACTAAAAATCCCTTACATAAACTATAAATCTTTGTTACCTTAAGTTAAGCAGATTTCTTTGCTGTGGAAGCAAAAGCCATCTATAGAAGATAAAAAATAACTTAATTATTTAAATTATCACAATCAAGAATTTCAGCTCTCCAAGGGAAAGGACAAGCTACATTGGGTGAAATGTGTGCAGATTATCAATCTGACAAAGTACTTGCATATAAAATACTCAAAGATCTCTCACAGCTCAGTGACGAAAACAACAATCCAAACGTCAAAAATCAACAAAAGTTTTGGAACATCAAAGAAACACAGAAAAGCACATGACCTTACACATGTGACATAGAAACTTGGGATGATAACAATTAAACAAAAAATATTCAGAATTAATGATCATTAGAAAATGCAAATTAAACCACAAAGTGGCACATAACTACACATCTACTACAATGGCTAGAATCAGAAAGACTTACATGTCCAGTACTGCCATTCATTCTGAACAACAAAAATTCTCAGAGACTTCTGAAGTAAATAAAATTTGGTGTATCTACTTTAGAATATAGTTTTGAAATTTCTGAATAAGTTAAAAATAGGCCAATTAAAGTTCCAACTGTTCATTCCTAGATGCTTTCAAAAGAAACTATGGCTACAGTTACTTGTACATGGATATCCACAGCAGTCCTAGTGTAGCTCTCCCAAGTGTCCATCAACAGATGAATAGTTAAATAGCGATATGCCCGTGCATTGGAGTACTATGTAATAATCAAAATAAGTGGACCTAATGTAATAAGACAATAACAAGATGGGTTTGAAAATAATTATGCTAAGTCAAAGAAGTCAGAAATATGTGTAGGTGAAATCACATAAATTGATCTGAAGTGACAGAGGCTAGAGGACTCTTGACTGGAAGCAAAGGGACTCAAAGGAGCCCAAGGGAAGTGTGACGGACAGACATGAAGAAACTCAGAGGTGACATATTCTGTTTGTGGTGTTATCATATGTACATGAGGTCAAAGGCCAGTCCAACTGCAGATTTTAAGTATGTCTATTGTGTGCCAGTTACATGTCAGTAAAACTGTTAAAATACATATATGCATGCGTAATAGTGCATGTCTTTTATCCCAAGAGTCAGAAGGCAGAGGCATGCAGGCTTCAGTGAGATAGAAGCTAGCCTGGCCTACAAAAGAAGTTCTAGGCTAGCTTGGGCTATAGGGACATCCTGTCTCTAAAATAATAATAATAATAATAATAATAATACATATGAGAAGTGCTAAAAGTAACAAACACACCCAGAGGAACTGAGGGATAGAATGCAAATAAAATGAAGTAGCTGGATAAGAAAACCTCATAGATGATGGCCTATCAAGGGAGTTGATATTTAAAGTAACTTTTCGTTTTTCTGTTCTCAAAAAATACACAACTGATCCACCAATAGAATTGTTCAAAATATACATATGTAACTTGGAGTTTGAAAGACAGGGACTCTAAAAATGCCCTCAAACAGAGATATAGTGATCAAAATAGATACTTTAAACAGTAGAAATAATTCTAGCTACCAATAAATGAATGCTACACCAGTCACAAAGCCTCAAGGCTCTACAAAGACTGGCTTTCAGAAATTTGAAAGCCCTAGTTACAGAGGCTCATAGTAAGTTATGCACAGACTTAAATATCTTATAGTCTTTAAATACTGCTGTGATAAAATACCCTGGTAAATGCAACTTAAAGGAGAAAGGGTTTATTTTAGTTCAGAGTTCAAGATATTTTCCATCATGGAAGTAAAGACAGCAGGTGCTTTAAACACTGGTCACATTGCACCTGTAGACAAGAAATAGAGAGCAAGGAGGGTTAGCTTTCTAGTTATCTGCTCACTGTTGTATACAGTCCAGGATTTCCCACCCAGAGAATGTTCTTGTCCATAATTAAGATGAGTCATCCCACACCAATTAATATCAACAAGACAATCTCCCACAGTCACGTCCAGAGTCCCACCTCCTAGATGATTCTAGGCTCTGCCAAGTTGATAATTAACACTAGCCATAGCATTTAGGAGTTTGCACAGGGAAACAGTTGCTACTTGTGGTGCCAGATACCAAATCTGATGTTCTACTTTTAAGTTCTTAAGTGCCCCTTGTGCCATACTTTTTAAACTGACTAGTATAGCGAAACAGACAAACATTTAAGAGAGTAAGGTGTTCAGATTTGTAAGCAGAAGAAAAGAAGGGGCAAGTATTTAAAAGCCCTTCTTTGAGCTTAATGCAGTGTTGAATCTTTAGAAAGTTATCTCATTGCCTTCAGATGCATCTTTGGTAAAACATAAGTTCTGAGACTTGTTTAAAGTTTGGCAACTAAAGATGAAAAGTAAATATGCCTGATTAAAGATTTGGCAAGTAATGCTTTTAATACAAAGAAAACAAGATCCTCGTGTGTGTGTGCATGTGTGTGTGTGTGTGTGTGTGTGTGTGTGTGTGTGTGTGTTTAGAGAGGAGAATGCTAGAGAGAAACTAAGAAGAGTGGGCAGATAGCTAAGCAGGAATTCTGTTAGTGCACTGAGCAGGTTTTGGGGTCTTCTCAGGTCAAAGCTAAGAGAACCATGTGATGGTGAAGTTCCTGAAGTTATGGAACTCTGAGGAGACTTGGTAAGATGCCCAGTGAGATGCTCTTGAACTCAGACACTGAGCAGCCAACACACAGCAGGACCAGAGGCAGAGACAGAGCTGGAGATAGAGACACACAGGCTATTTTAGGAAAGCTGTTCTATGGCTCCTCATTCCATTCTGCTCCAGTCTTTTCCTTAGGGAAACAAATATACACACAAATGCATGTGCACCTAAACTCGATCCTGCTTTCTAATTTATGAGTAATAAGGAATTGTTGCTATTTTTAAAGAAGATCTGAAACACTGAATATTTAAGAAGTTTTCTTAATTTCACACAGTAATTAGTGGACATCAGGGAGGTAGTTCATGGAGAAAAAAATAAAGTGCAGAACTTAGAGGAACTCGGCTCCCGTATAGACATGACCACTGACTGGGAGAAAATTACTGCCTAGTTTGTAAAATGAAAATACAAAGAATATTGGGGAAATGAGTAACTGTAAGGACTTGAATATGAAGACAAAGAATGAATTACAGGCTGGGCGTATCACTCAGTGGTAGGGTGCCTGCCTACTGTGAGTGCCTCGGTTCAACATTTAGTACTGGAAAAAAGAAGAAAAACAGAATAGATGACTGTGACTGAATTTCCATCTTTTGTATGATTGAGAATTTAATTTAAGGAATCGATACAATAATTTTTTTAATTAGCAAGGTTTTCATATAAATCTTTTAAATCTTTCTGCCAACATGTTGTATTTAGGGGCATTTTAGGCATTCATTTAATCTTATTTTATTTTGTGTATCTATGTGTGCATGTGTGTGTACATGTGTGTGGGTACATGTGCGAAGGTCAGAGCTCAACTTCGGTATCATTCTTCGGGTATCAGCACCTTTACTTTGAGACAGGCTCTATCACTGGCCTTGAACTCACCAAGTAAGCTAGGCTGGGCAGGCAGTGAGCCCCAGGGATCTTCCTTTCTCTGCCTCCTCAGCTTTGGATTTATAGGCATGTACTATCATGCACAACAATTTTTAAAAATATATTTATTATTTTTATTTTTATGTGTATGAGTGTATTGCCTGCATGTATGTGAGTGCACCTGTGTCTTGCAATGCTGCGGAGGTCAGATGAGGGTGTCAGATTTCCCTGGAACTGGAGGTAAGGTCGGTTTGTAGCCTCCATGTGGGTGCTGGGAATCAAACCTCGGTCCTCTGCAAGAGCAGTCAGTGCTCTTAAGCGCTGAGCCATCTCTCTAGCCCCATGCACAACAATTTTTTTCTGGGTCTGGGGTTTGAACTCCAGTCCTGGCACTTGTGTGGCCAGCACTTTACTGACTGAGCTATCTCTCCAGTCTCTTTATTTGTTTTTAACAGGGTCTTACTATGTAATTCAGGCTGGCCTTGAACTCCTGATCTGCTTCCCAGGTAGCATTGCAGCCCTCTGCCAGACCATTTCTATTAGATGCTGCTCATTTTCAGTTCATGCATAGCATAAGTCCTTGTGCTTTGACTCCTCTCTAAACCGTGTTTTACATTGCTATGGGGAGATTCCAGTTATCCAATAAGAAAAGCTGCAGACCTCTGACATCATGCTTCATTGGGTGATCACCTGCACAGGGAGAAATAAAAGATGAAATAAAAGATGGCTCCTCTGTTATGGGAGGATCTGCCTGCCTCTGTAGAAATTAAGACCACCTGAGAATATATGGTACAATTTCAGGTAAGAGGAAAGATGTTTGGACAACAGGCTTAATACTTCCTGTACCTCTGTATTTTCCCCATCAGAATTGGAATTATTCTTACATTTCCCAATATTGTCAAGCTAGAATTTTACAACTCTCACATAGACCCAATAATTACATGCATTCAATCACCAATCACTGTGTGGGGGGGAACCAAAAAACTGGTTGTCCTAGAGAGCCATAGAATGAATCCTTGGAATGTAACTACAGAAGGGAAGACCCACTACTGAGCAACTTCACCCAAATGTGATAAAGTCAGATGCTGTTTCCTTCTCTGGTATAAACAGTGAAGCTGTCCCACTGGCCTGGCCACAACCTGGATGTCTCAGGGCCACAGCCCTTTCTTTCCTTCCACTTTCCCTAAGGGGAATTCTGGCTCATAAAGGAAAGAGCATTGGTATGAATTCTTTCCAGAAATGATTTGAGGTCTGCATTTGTGACATCTTATTCTAAGATGAGCGAACATCTATTATTAATTGATGCACTAATTAAAGCCATGCTCACAGTTTCCATTAGCTTATTCCCAAAATTCTCCAGAGTTGACTGTCTGGTTTTAATCAAAACCAAATGGTAGTCCAAGTTCCCAGCCTGGAGCAGCCAGGAGGAAGTCATTCAGTGGAGGCACAGAAAGCAGAAAAGATAAACAAATGAGAGAGAGTTCACAAAATGTGCGTCTGGGGAAGGATGTGCACACTGCTAGCCGCTTTAGAGATGTGATTGAGGGACTCCTCCATGCAGGATGGAAGCTGCTGCAAGTGTTTAATGTCAGCAGGACTCTAACATGATCAAGATGGAGTCTGACTTCTGCCTTCACAGCCTTGGCTTTCTGTAGCTGGAAGAGCCCATCTGGAGGTAAGGCTGCATGTGCTGTAACACAAACAACTATATTCTGTGAAGAATTCTGGGCATCGAAGAGGACTTGAAGAAAACGCTTTACTTCCTAGATTCTTGGCATTTTACTACACATTTTCTCAGGTTCAGGATGTAAGGCGCCAACGTTTTAAATTTTAAGTAATGCTTTTTAGAAAGTTCTAAACTTTAGAAGAATTACGGTATTAAAACTGAATTCATCTTTCTCAAAGAACTGGTGGGACAGAGCTAGCAGAAGTGTTTTTCTATACATTGAATCCAGTGGGAGGCTGTGAGGGGGAGCGGCGCTTTCTTCCTTCCTCGTTTTCCATGAGCAGTGTGGGATAGGAAGAGCTCTAGGACTTTATGACGCAGGCTAATCATCTCAAGAGCTTTGACAAACTCACTTCAGTTCTGTGTAAAATCAGAGCTCCTTCAACGCCTGGGCAGCTCTGCTCTCTCCCCCTCCCCTCGACTTCGTGCAGTTTTCTCACATGCAAACTTCTCAGAGGCAGGAAATACTTTCCAGGCGATCTGGGCCTGCTGGTGGAGGCCCCTCTCGCAAAACACCAGTGTGCATAAAGCAGACAGAAGTCACCAGGAACGCCTTGACAGGATCCGGCTTTAGGAGGCTCCCTCCAGCTGCAGAGAGTGTTTTTGTTAGAATCACACACTGCTTAAAGGAAAACTGCTTAGAATAGAGCCGTGACCTCAGCCACAAGATGAGAACTTAGATTCTGGAGACGCTAACGGACAGATGGACTTCTAGCCCAGCTTGAGAGCAATGTCATGCCTTGGCCGCACAGCGACTCCGGCTCTAGGTAAGAGGCTCGGGCTGTCTTAAAGCTTGGCGGTGTCATTGCAGAGGCAGAGTACGGGAAATGCTAGCATCTTGCACCCAGTGGGTGACTGCCCCGGTTTCAGAGCCTTGAAATCAGAAGAGGGAAACCTTTAGTGAGTAGAAAAGCTGTGAGTCAAATCTCTTCAGCAAAATATCATTTCTAAAATAGGCTCCATGGAGCTTTGACTCTTTTTCTTCGTAAAGAAACATTTTATTGTGGTTCTTTTTTATTCTGAACCTATTTACAAGTATATCTATAATGTTCTGTGCTCCTTTTACACAGCTTAACATGAAACAAATGCATCTTCTCACATGGAAGTATGATGTGAGAGAATTCTTCTATTTTTTTTTAAAGCAGGAAGCAAACGTAACATTAAAGTTATTTTTTTCTTAATAAGGAGACTCCAAAGGATATTTTGTGTCTTATTTAAAGCTATGAAGATCAGCTTCTTTGATATTGTCCCAAACGAGTTTCAATCTCATGTCCCATTGCTAATGTATGTCTTAAATTTTTCACTTTTTTAGAGAAGTAAACATTTACAAATCTACAAATTCTCTCTCAACGTATTTGATTTGATTTCAGCTTTGAAATTTTAATATCAGCATTGTTTTTTATTTATGTCAAATTTCCTGGATTCACTGCTCAAATCATATGTGAGGTGAAGATTTTGAGTAATTGAAGTAATTTAATGACAGTGTCACTAGTTACTACGCTAAGATAGCCAGATCTCAACAGTCATGTGAAAACTGATGGACGTCTCTGTTTTGTGCCATTATAAAATTATATTTTCTCCAAGAGTTAATCTTTTTAGTGTCTTAATGTTTAAATGTGTGACCCATGAATAAATGAATTTAATAATGTGAAATAGCATAAATTTATGATATAAAACATGATGCTATCTTTAGAAATATTTAGAACGAAATCAGTTTTAGAGGTAATATGGAAGAATACATACAGAAAATATTCTTATACATTTCCAAACCTGTCATCCAAACACAAAACTTACCAAGTGAAAGATAAAGAGCAGTTTTGATAGTCGGATCATAAGAAATCAAAAATAAGGATTTTAATTGCAAACTTTTATGAAGTACAAGATGATTGTCTGCTATGTTAGATAATTCTTAATTTCTAGGCTTATATTAGAGTTTTTGCACGATCACTGACAGTTTAAATTTTAAGGCTTTTAACGTATGGGGAAAAGTCCTCATTTATAATATGTTAGAACTGAAATTGAGGGGGCTTAAGAATATAGCTCAGTGCTAGAGCACTTAAATGAGCAAGGCCCTGGGTTCAATCCAGTGCCACCAAAAAGGAGGAATTCTGGCATGTCTAAACTACTGTTTAATGAAATTTCTAGATAGAATGCTAGGGAAGGGAAGAACACAGATCACCATTCCTGGCATTGTCTGAGATTGCCAAGGAGGAAGCTGAGGAATAGCAGCATTTGAAAGTGACTCGTCCAAGGTCACACTGCTGGCTAGTAGGCGAGGACCATGAAACCACAACAACCTTCCTCACGATTTACAGTCCTTATACTGCACAGTTTCACTCTTAACTAATAGCTATGCACAGTAATGTATGACTATTCCCACACAGTAGGAGGATACTTTTCAGAAAGAAAGATAGAGTTCTTCTTTAAAATAAATCAAATTCACTAATACCATTTCCTCACAGGCAATAATTTTCCTTAGAGTATCTTATGCTTTAAACTAAGATATTAAAGGAAGTTACTTGTTTTATGACTGTTTTGTTCAGTTTTATGTTTATGCCAAGCAAATCGATCAATATACTATCATGATACTTATTCAAAAGTAGTGTTTTTTTTTTTTCCTTCAAGAGAATAGACCTAGAGAGGATCTTGCTCCACGTTGTAGCCTTATATTCAAATGGTACAATTAAAAACTATTCCAACTAGTGACTTTCAGACGTAATTTTACAACTCTCCACTGTAATTGCCTCAGGAAGTTCATGAGTCTTTCTACCATCTGAACTAAATCTCTATTGCTTAACCTGTTTTCAGTTCTAGGTCAAACGGTCTCCACGTCCATATAAAAATACAGGTGCACATTTCTGATCGAATGATCCCAGTTCATTCCATCTTCCCTCTTCGACTTGTTTTCAACCTTTCTAACTGCATCTACTCTAAGGCTTCTGTGGGGCCCTTTAGTGATGCTCTTGTACATATAGAAGTAAAGGAGTGAGCAGTGCAGCAGGAAATGGGAGAGTTGGCTAGTTCTTCAGTATCATGCATCATGTATGACAACACATGCTGCCGTGTGTTCTGCAGCAGTGTGCTTTCCAGGCAAATGCGTTTCTCATAAAATGAATGTATTCTACTTTTAATGGATGCCCTTTCCTTAGACTGTGTATCATGGTGCTGCTTGGGTTTTAAAATTGGCGTTGTAGTGAACCAAGTGGAGTTTCCTGATATTAACACTTGAAATATTCAATACTCTTCCAGCCGCCATGCCACATTGCAACACAGCCTAAACAACTTGCAGTGTAATCAATGGCATCCAGTAGAAGAAGGTGCACTGCTTGTCTCTTTCTTCTTAATGACATTATCATTATTAAAAAGATATTTTTTAGACCTCTTCAAACTTGTCATTGCTGCACATCTTACTGCTGATGCTTAGGGTCCAGTGAAATCTTATTTAGAGAAGATTGGATTTATAGGTTTAAAATGGATCTGAGGGGGCTGGAGAGATGGCTCAGCAGTTAAGAGCATTGACTGCTCTTGCAGACGACCGAGGTTCGGTTCCCAGCACCTACATAACAGCTAAAAACCATCTGTAACCTCAGTTCCAGAGAAATCTGATGCCCTCTTATGACCTCCTTGGGTATTGCATGACACTGGGGCACTTACATATGTGCAGACAATACACTCATATACATAAAATAAAAAAATTAAAATATTTTAAAGTAGATCTGAAATAGGTTATTTACATGTTGTCTTCTATTTTTATCTGGTTCTTCTTGGAAAATAAAAGAATTGATATCAGTATTATCTTGTAATGAGAACAATCTTTCTAAAACCATTTTAATATAGCAAGTTTTCAAACAACAAATGACCCATAGCTGAATCAGGGATTTTATTATCATAATCAAGAACTATCAATAATTGTATATGGGAACAGGTTCTGTAAAGACACAACCCAAACCAAGCAGGCTTACAGAGGGGTGTTCCTCATGATTGGCTTTGAGGTGATGTTAGAGTTTACTTCTGTGGATCTCTTCCACCTTGAAAGTACCAATCCACTTAGAGATTGGGAATGTACAAAGGCTTAGTTTTAAAGGAAGTTTAAAAATTAAGGCAAATTATAGGCATCAAAATATGGCTTGAAAGAGATTAGTCTCATTCAGTGGATTATAGGGTGTTAATGTTAGTGACCTTGAGATGAAGACAAAGAATCAAGTGCAAAAGAGTCAAATTTTAACTTAAAGGAGCTACTGACGTTCATATGAACATTCCCACAGTTGAGATGAATGAGTGTGAAGGGCAATTGCAGCTGGTTTCATGTGAAAAAGATTATCTTCATATGATATTAAAATACCAAAATGCTTTAGTATGCAATTCAGGTAAATCAAAGAGAAAACCAGAGCTGCTAATGGAAATGAGAAAAAATAGAAAGATTGAAGGGAAAGCTTAGAAATTTGATTGATGTTTATTTTCATTCCCAGCAAATAACATCACTCTAACATATTAAGAATCATCAATTCCATGGGGCTGAGAGATGGCTCAGTGGTTAAGAGCACATAGTGCTCTTACAAAGGACTGGGATTCAATTCCCAGCACCCACACCAGTTCCAGGGAATCCGATGCCCTCTTCTGACCTCCACAGTTATTGCATTACACAGGTGCATTTACACACATTCAGACAATACACTCATACACACAAAATAAAATCAAAGTTATAAATAAAATACTTTTTAAAAATTTATCAATTCCTGTTTGTCAACAAATTTTTGTGGAATGGATGGGCGTAAGAAAGAGGGAAGAAGAGGAAAGCAGGATTAAAGAAGATTAGTAGGTGGGAGTTGGACTTTTATTCTCTTTTCCAGACATCCTGTAATAATATACTAATACTTGTTAAAAGGAAAGAAAAGTAAGTGGTTGGCAAAAGTCATCAGAAGCTGAGGCCAGGGGTTAATAACACTCTTATAAGATGACATTACAAATCATTAACAACCAGAAACACAAGCCTCCAGAAATACTTTGAAAGGAAAACTTATAGGAGGCCAGTGTGAGGCGAGCCAGCGGATTTCCCACAGTTTCAGTGGGGAGGCACAATGAAGCATCACAACACAGCACAGCACTGGCTCTGGTTTCACCTCTGCACCTGATGCTCCTTGACTGGAATCATCGTGATTCACATGTTGATCTAATCACACATCAGTATTGAAATAATACAAGCAGGCAAGGCTAATTTTAATTTATATTCAGTTTTGATTTTGCAATTGAGATCAGCTAAAGGAGTTCTTATGATTTCTCCCCCCCCCCCCCGCCTCCTTTCTGCCCTCCTCCTCCCCCATTCCTCCTGGGGGCATCACTTAGCATCTTAGCTCTAATGAGTGTTTGAGATAAGTGCTCTACCTAATTTATTTAATCATTATTTTTTCACTAACTATTATTTTCTTCTCATTTTTTCCACAATTTTCTTTATAGATATAAGGAAACTAAGGTGCAAGGAATTTAGGTAAACAGTCTAAATTTCCAGGGCCCAAAACAGATTTTCAACAGATACCTTGCCTTCACACACAGCCAACCAGCCGAGGGGTGGGGAGAGAGAGAGAGAGAGAGAGAGAGAGAGAGAAATTATTCCTGCTTACTGAAAGATATTTGACATTTAGCTAGACACATAGCTTCTGTCAGAGTTTTTCTTTATAAAACTGAGCAATGATAGTATTATTTTGTAGGATAATTATATTATTACTAACATTCCCAATAGACTGCCTGATCTATTTTATCTGTTTTGCAT